AACGCCAACGGATACAATAGGTGCCTACGCACCTTCGGTGCTTGGCCCCTAATAATAATAATAATAATAATAAATGTATTATTATTATTATATTCAATTTTTACATTATTTATGTTCAAATTTTGGTTATTTAGTGCATTCCATTACATTTACATATAATAATAATACATAATATATTTTATTCTTAGCTGACTAATTAATTTACTTTCTGATAAAAGTAGAAGCTTCATTTTTTATTACTATTATAATTATTATTATTAAATTTATTAAATTTATTATTATTATTATTCATTGCTGTTGCTGTTGTTTAGGCAGTTAGTTAGACTTTAAACCTTGTAGATATTTGGCCTCTAAAGGAAATGGAAAACCATAAAGGAAATTGAAAAAGATCTGATCTGCACAAATCTGCCATTTGTTAAAAAAAAAAAAACTCAGTCTGTTTTTGTGGCAGATGGGTTTGTATAGCTTCCACTCTCCTAAGAAAGGCAACTAATTATTGATATTTATTGAAACATACTGTATATAGGCTACTTATTAGCCTATATACAGGCTAATAAGCCTATATACACTTATTACCTAAGTGTGTGTCTGTATTAGGTGTGGTTTTGTCTTTCCGTTCAACGTGCTAGGTTAGATGTGACAACAGACCACACAGCGCAACAAGGAAGAAGCACAATTCATAACCGATTCATACAGGTAAGTAAAACATCACACAAGAACTACAAAAGCAAATTGTGAAAATCTAAAATGATACAATATACTGTATTTTCACAGACTTCCATCACTAAAATGCTGAATATTTCCTGCAAAACTGTCTACACGGTGCTAAACAGCACAGAGAAGATGGCCATTGGCACCATCTGTCTGGTGATCGCACCTCTCAGCCTCCTGGTCAATGTGCTCGTTCTGGTTGTCATAGCCTGCTCTAGGAACCTGCTGCGACGTCCGTCGTACCTGTTTATGGGCAGCTTGGCATTGGCTGACACTATTGCTTGCTGCTGTTTCACCATCAACTTCCTGGATTTCCACCTTTTTAAACAGGACAACTCCTTTCAGAAAACAGAGTATCTGCTTAAGCTGGGTGGCGTGACCATGGCGTTTACAGGATCGGTTGGAAGTCTGCTAGTGATGGCAGGTGACCGCTATTACGCCATTTACAAGGTTTCCACCTACAAGGTGCTGCTGACGCATAAAAGAGTCTTGGTGGGTATTGTGACATTATGGGTCGTGGCTGCCCTCATTTCCTTCCTTCCTCTGATGGGCTGGAGTTGTCAGACTTGTCTATCATGCTCCCATCTCTTTCCGTATGTGGATCGTTACTATCTAGCATTCTTTGCTAGTCTTGTGTTGGTGGTGATCATCCTCATACTGGTAGCCTATGCTCTGATAGTGTGGTTGGCCCACAAACATGAAGCCAACATGTCCGCTGAACATCCAGAGGTAGCACGCATGCGTGTGGACATTCATTTGGCGAAGACTTTTGGCTGTGTTATGTTGATTCTGTTAGTGTGTTGGCTGCCTGTCCTTTCCTTCATGATGACAGATGTAGTTACTACAGAGCTTTCAAAACCACAAAAAAGGGCATTTGCCTTCTGCAGTACACTATGTCTGCTGAACTCAGGAATCAACCCATTGCTATACACCCTGCGCTGTCGTGAGCTACGTGTAGCGCTTAAATCATTGGTAGATGGTTTGAGGAGATGCAAGGGTTGTAGTTCACCAGCTAGTAACTAATACTTATGTGTAGGGATGGGCGTATCGATCCGAAGTATCGATATATCGAAGTATCGAGTATCGAAAGTATCGATACTCAAACAAAAAATATCGATACTAAGGTGCGTTTTATTTACCAGTGGTTTCGAAAACAAAATAAGGGGTATCGCCCATCCCTACTTATGTGTTTAATTTAACAACATCTGGCTAATTAACATAAGTGTTAGCTCCCCCTAGTGTTGGTTTCTAAACAACAACAGTGTTGTCAACACATTCTCTATTTTGATTTATCATTTCTTAAATTTTGATTAAATATTGTGTCAAATATATAATTTGTCCACTGTGTATTCTTCTTTCTGTACATTTAATTTCTATCTGTAAAAAAAAAAGGTAACAAGGAAGAGGTCTGAGGATTGACAAACTCTGCATGCTTTTATAATTTTCATTTTCACTGTTTGTTTTTTTTTATGAGTAAATATTTACTTTGATATGGAAGCCTGTTTCTGCCCTCTGAGAAAAAATAGTTAATTGAGAGTCTAAAATAAGAAAGAGTTTTTGAGATATACATTTACATTGTGAGACATATACAGGTGATTATTGTGAGATATAAAATCTCAATTATGATGTTTGTATGTATGACGTATGATGATGATGTTAAATAAAGATGTTTTTAAATGACAAATAAAGATTGTTTAAAGGTTTTATTTTCACGTTTGTTTTTTATATACACTACCATTCACAAGTTTAGAGGTGGTAAGATTTTTAAATGTTTCTGAAAAGTCAAATATATTTTATCAAAAATACAGTAAAAACAGTAATATTATAAAATGTTACAATTTAAAATGTTCTTTGTTAATATAATTTAAAATGTAATTTATTTTTGTGATGAAAAATCTAATAATTAAGCAGCCATTGTGTCAAGTGTTAGCTCCCCCTAGTGTTGGTTTCTAAACAACAACAGTGCTGTCAACACATTCTCTATTTTGATTTATCATTTCTTAAATTTTGATTAAATATTGTGTCAAATATATAATTTGTCCACTGTGTATTCTTCTTTCTGTACATTTAATTTGTAAAAAAAAAAGGTAACAAGGAAGAGGTCTGAGGATTGACAAACTCTGCATGCTTTTATAATTTTCATTTTCACTGTTTGTTTTTTTTTATGAGTAAATATTTACTTTGATATGGAAGCCTGTTTCTGCCCTCTGAGAAAAAATAGTTAATTGAGAGTCTAAAATAAGAAAGAGTTTTTGAGATATACATTTACATTGTGAGACATATACAGGTGATTATTGTGAGATATAAAATCTCAATTATGATGTTTGTATGTATGACGTATGATGATGATGTTAAATAAAGATGTTTTTAAATGACAAATAAAGATTGTTTAAAGGTTTTATTTTCACGTTTGTTTTTTATATACACTACCATTCACAAGTTTAGAGGTGGTAAGATTTTTAAATGTTTCTGAAAAGTCAAATATATTTTATCAAAAATACAGTAAAAACAGTAATATTATAAAATGTTACAATTTAAAATGTTCTTTGTTAATATAATTTAAAATGTAATTTATTTTTGTGATGAAAAATCTAATAATTAAGCAGCCATTGTGTCACATGATCAAGAAACATTTCTATCTTATTTTTATCAATGTTGAAAAAAGTTCTGCTGCTTAATATTTTTGTGAAAACGGAGATACATTTTTTTCCGGATTCTTGATGAATAGAAAGTTCAAAAGAATGGCATTTATTTGAAATCTTTTGTAACATTCTAAATATCTTAAATATCATTTTTGATCAATTTAATGTTACCTTGCTGAATAAAAGTATAGGTTTCTTTAAAAATAAATTTACTAAACCCAAACATTTGACAGTAGTGTACTAGTGTAAAAAGTTGCATTTACAAGAAATACTCATAATTGTGATATGTAAAGTCTATTAGATTTTTTTTTTTTTTCCTATAAGGTGGAAACTCCAATTCATACTGAACATGCAAAATCCAATGCTACATCAAGGGCTGTAATGTTCTCTATCATATAAAAAGACATTTAAACAAAAAGCTAACTTTTTTAGATTGAATAAAATCATGAAGTTTGACATGGTTTATCATCTTTCAACGCTTAGATTAACATTATAAGCAACTATAACTACACGCAGCCACACACATCTTGATGAATCTTGCCATTTGAACCTAAGATTTCAAACATACCTATTTAAACATACTCAAAATGTCACAGACTGGGAGCAAAAAGAGTAGTGATGTTATATGATAATGGAGTTTAGATTGAAATTGTGTTTGTTTGGGGGGGAAAAAATCATGTTTCTCTAATGTTACACCGTCAAATGTCAAAGGTAGCATTGTGGATGCCAAGGGCTACACAATACTTTATTGAAATTCAAATGGAAGTTTTTATCAATAAAAGCAAGTGCTTGGGAAACTACAATGGCTGCGTTTATTCCTGGCCTCTGTCAACAAGTGACATTTAGATACCCTCTGAATTTCAGAAAGGGTCAAAGTGGTGCACACAGAGAAGTCTATCAGCAAAACGTATCTGCGCCTCACACAAAGCCTCACTCACACACACTGACGGATATGTTGGTGTGTGTTGACGATAACTTACCAGTACTTTCTGGAGCCAGTGGGACCTCATTGTTTTCTACCCTGTGGCAGCGTATTCCAACATCTTCGCTATGAGAGCAATCGTGTCGACCCCACACACTATGTGTACACTCCAGCAAAGAGCTCTCGCTCCCCTCACACTCCACATCGTCCAGCAGAATCAGCCCTGCTACTTCTCCAAACGCGCCAGCGGGGGCAACCTCCGCACCGCCCCTACATGGACACACGCACTCATGATAAATTCCCAATAACATAAAGCCACTTTAAATTCTCCCGCAAAATACTTAATGTATACATATAGATCCCATAGAGACACTCATACGCCCACATTGGGCACTACTATTGTGTAGGACACTTCTATGTGAATTTAATAACTAAATCCCTGCAGCCGGTTGCAAAACAAACCCCTTTAAGTTATGTTCCTAATTTAAAGCATTATTTTACTGAAGGTTTGCATGTATAAAAACGTGTAAACTTAATCGCATGTGCAAAAATGTCAGAGTTGATCTATTAACACAGTCTGCTGAGAACTGTATCTGTCACATGCACAAATCTTGTCAATTTTTGCAGACTTCTTAGAGTTTTTTTTTATATACTTCTGTTTATTTCTCTATAACTGTAACTATGTATTTAAATTAATGCAACAATATTGTGAAGTACAAAAAATATATGAAATTATTTATTGTGAGCTTTTGGCCATTGTTTTATTCAAATTTACCCTACCATTCAAAAGTTCTAGGTCAGTTACATTTATAAAACTTTTATTTAAACTTAAAAGACTCAAAAGACAGTGTTACAAAAAAAATTCTATATCAAATAAATGCTGTTCTTCTGAACTTTCTATTCATCAAAGAATCTTGAAAAAAATTTATGTTTTCAACATTAATAATAATATGAAATGTTTCTTGAGCACCAAATCAGCATATCAGAATGATTTCTGAAGGATCATGTGACACAGAAGATGAATAAATTACATTTTAAAATATATTAAAAAAAGAAAAGTTATTTTAAATTGTAATATTATTTTCACATATTGCGGTTTTACTGTATTTTTGTTCAAATAAATGCAACAGAGACTCCTTTTAAAAACACCAACAAACCTTAATGACCCCAAATGTTTGAACAGTAGTGTATATTAAATATTTATATACATGACTGCATTACCAAATGTCTTTTATATGAAATCTAAGTTAATCAAGGCCCAACTGTTTACATTTATCTGACAGTATATCATTCTTCAGTTTTAAGTAAGACAGCTACTGTATATACACAACTACCGGCAGGATGAAAGAATAGCACCTGAATCCCAGCTGTCTGCAGACCACCTGTGCATGCTGCTCCGTCCAGCTGTCATCACACACCGTGCCCCAGTCCCCAGAGTGATATACTTCCAGACGACCTTCCCATGGGTTATCACCATCAACCAGTCTCACCACGCCATCTGAATGCATATGCAAACACAAACTATATACACACATTTCCTCTCACAGTTTCTCTATTGCCAATGGAAGTAATAACTGAAACAAAGTCTTATGTTATCCTGAAGGGGTTTATTTTGCTATAAAACCTGTTTGCTGTAAATCATCCCATTTACATGACTACTTACCAGATAAATAATAAGTGAACATGAAATATTTATTAGAGTCAAAATAATTTTTTAATGTGAGAACACAGAGACCAAGGAGTGATACATAATGCAGAAAACTGTTTGCTAGGGAAAACTAGGTTTATTAGGGTAAACTTCACAGAACATTGTGAAAGACCAATCAGAATCAGGTATTTACCAAAGAACCAAGGCTGTAATGTTTGTATGTGTGTGTCTATGTATAGGATGAGACCTGTATAGGGATTGCATGACACCCCAGCGTCTTCCATATGGTCACAGTTGTGTTGTTCCCATCCGCTGTGACGGCACTCGTCCAGAGAGAACTCATTGCCTGTGCACTGTACTGCGTCCAATTGGATCGGCCCACTGCCCTGCCCGAAATGAGCCCATGACCAAGCTTTAGGGATGCCCCTGGACACACACAAAGACATATATACAGTCAAAGGAGACAGTACCGTTTCTAGGCATAGGCGAGCTAGGCGGTCGCCTAGGGCGCCAATGAGCGCACGTATTGGCACTACATTTTAGCAGGGTTGTGATAAAGAGTGGCACGGTCACACGTTTTTGCGCCAATGCATTGTTAAAGGATCAGCGTTTCATATTCCCATATAAACTTTAACAGCCAATTAAAAAATATTGGTATAGTAAAATTCGCTAATTTACGAGATCAATACATCCTTTATTAAACCGCTTTGTCGAGTTTGATGCATTCTGCAATTACGGAGGTGTTGAAATGCTGAATCAATTCATTCACTTCTAAGAGCATTTAATGGGAGCAGCGTTATACACATAGAGGGCAGAGCGTCACGTTATTTAAAGGGGAAGTTCACGCGTTAATGAGTAGCAAAGGATTAAGTAGCTGCATTGATTACTTTTTTGCCACTGATCAGGCTTTTATATGTAGTCTGGGGTAACAAAGGGTTTTATAGGTTTGACTGAAATAATAATGCAATAACTGACACTTTAAATCAATGTTTCAAGCAACAACAACAAAACAATTGAACAAAAAACAGACAAAGACAAAAAGTAGCCA